CGTACAGGAAACGAAAACTGCATTTTACCCCCCCCCCCAAAGAAAAACCGCAAACCGAATACTTTTGTTCAGCATCTCCAAGTTCCTTTCAACCGATTGTTACTTCGATGCTGTACCACTAATGATTAGTATAACAATCCCAATAAAACCATTTTTTATCCCCAAAAGAGATCTCATTCCGTTCGTGTTTTCGGGTTGCATGACGATCAGTTCACAATAAACAATATTCTATTTCTAAATTTTTCTGGACTATGCATTCTCCTATACTAGTGTATTTTTATCCGGAGGCCCAGCTGAATGTTGTTTTCATCGTTTTCACCGACATGTCCAACTAAGATACCGTCTTAAAATCTATACGTAGCAACATGCGCTTATTTTTCTCTGTAGGCTTTTGTTCGGGCATCTAGTTTGCTTCGCCCACCGCGCCAATGGGACCTGAACCTATCTCATGTGAGACAGAATCTCCCGAAGGGTTGGAACTTGGGATCTCGTAACCCTCTTCAGACGAGACATAAGTGACAGTACCGTACAGCGATCCACCTAAGCTTCTTTGTTGTTTCGAGGTCATCGAAAGTGACGTGAGCTTATGGTGACCACCAGTGCAGCACATGACCGTAGCTCACACCAGTTAGTTGCCAACTGGCATATACTGGTTGCCAGATGCCATACTGAAGTACAAACGACAAAAATTTTCATTGAACCAAACGATATAGATGAACACCACGAACTTCACTGAAGCATCAATTTGGGTAGCTACTACACGCGCTAACCGTTTAGTTCCATATTCACTTAACGTGCCTCTTATATTTACGGTCAAAGGAATGTCGTTCAGAGAGGCCATGTAGCCAAATGTATCACCAAACGAAGAGATTGCATCCCGTTTCCACCAAAACACAAAGTTTACAGCAGTATACAGTTTGTAAAATAACTGGTTTCATTGAGGCTATCTAATTTTAATCTTATGTCATAACCCACACGGTAAACTCTCATTCATCTACTCACTCACTTTTCTACGATCATCCAAATCTCACACATAAATACCCCGTGTTTTGATTATCAAAATGAAATTATCTCGTAGTAAACTCTGGAAACGAATGCTCTCTTACTATGTGTTTTGTGAAAGGGGGAAAAAGCCAATCGATATTGTAGTAAAATCAAGCATGTTGACTAAATGTTTTGCTCAAACTCTGAAATTTCCAACTAGAATCGGAGAATATAGTTACAGCATCCTTCTGGATTAAGGAAGCCTGTGGAAGCTCACCGTCAGATTATTATGGAACATTACATACACGTCACCACCGGTCGGGGAACTAGCGCCGAAGTTTTCAATCCACCAGTCACTGCGGAAACGATAAATGCTCAACCACGGTTGGTCTCATTGACTTCCACAATTTGCCGAAACTGGTAGGCATTATCAACCTGTTGGGATGATTTTATCATTGGGATCTTGAGCCAATTTTACCGTTTGTGGGAATAATATGTGAACATATGGTTAGAGAAAAAGAAGACGCCCCTCAAATATCATTCGGCTCTGGTTTTTCTGTCAGGCGAGACTCCATCGTCATTTTGTAGTTTTCATTTACGAACGGAATGGAACAAATTTTGATTCAAATTAACACCGGTATCACTGGGTGATATTGTATCGAACTGACTGACTGTCTTCCAAGTACCGTGTAGGGTTTGACAGTTTTTATTATTTTTTTCGTAAAGTCCAATCAGACTGTACACCATCACCGTCATACAGCGAGTAAGTAATACGGAATGAAGTAAAGTGGAAGATAACAAAATCATTCAATTCATACGCATCAAGACTAAAATTGCACTAATAGGCGGCTTACTTTTCTATGAGTTATTAGAGATAACCACTTATTCAGAAATATAGTTAGACCTGTGTATGCATATACATAAATATACACAGATAGATAGATAGATAGATGAACAGAACTAGATAGAATGTGTGTGTGGAATAATACGAAATAATAAACTATCATGGAAACCGATGTTGTGGTTCCCAGACAGTTCTGTGGGCCTACTTGACACAAGAAAATACATCTGTATCTGGGGTATTCACATTCAGGCCCTAAAATGAATTTCAAGGAAATCAGTACGTGAAGGAAGAACGCAAGAGATTTTACTTGAAAACTAAGATGCAGCATCAACAGACTGACGAACAGTGGAGAAAGTTCACCGATATATAAATTCTGATCACTGATCAAGACCTCCAGCTTATTCAATGCTATGCCATTCTAAGAGACAGTAGTATGCAAAACTGGACAGATATCTCGTTTACAGTAAAGTAGATTCATATCTGAATACAAAATGCATGACGTTGTGGGAATTAAGGAAAGAGTTTGGTAATACAGGAAGATCAGAAACAGCTGAACACAAACATGGATTATCTGAAAAGTCTTGCGTGGTACTCAGTGTCATATCCAAGTTGCTCCGAAATATGTACAGTGAGGGGACCGCTAATATGCCGTGGAGTTTGAGCAGCTTTTATACCGGACAACCAACATTATATACCCACGTTTTATTTAGAAACGAAGTGCCATAGTACAGACAGGATACATGTGATGGAAGTACACCCATACTGCCAATAAGAGAGATGTACCAATGTTCGGTGGTATGTGCATGCTGTGAAATAAATATATTTGCAACAGGAACCTAGACTGAAAACGATCTAACAGTCTTCTACATTTTAAAGTGTAGTTAAAGTGCATTCGCTTCCTAGGATTACCCAGTATCCGGGATCTTGTCAACTTATTAAACCTAAGTGGTAACAACCACTTAGATAACAATAACACTTTCGCGATGAATCATGTGTACTTCCCCAAATACCACATGTCAGTAATCATAACAGATCGTTCTCACAGTTCTAATACGTTTCATTGCTAATTGGGGTGAGTTATTTTCTTTTAGTCTGTACAATACTCTGTGAAACCTTTATTCAGTTGTGTCCTTTAGCTGGTTAGTTAAACCGCCAAAATGTTGATAGCAATAATTCTACTTGCTATTCCCTTTGTAAATAAAAATTGGACGATTTGGAAAGAATAAAAGCACCTGTAACCCTTTAGGTGCAAATGACTGACTTTAGTGAAGACCGAACATAAGCATAATATATCGCTTAGCAACAGATTAGAAATCTAAATTATATTTTATTCATGGATATTCAATTAACATGATCGGTATCCTCTTTCATGACCTTCATAGTGGCATGGTCATGAACTGGAATTTTAATAAATAGAAAACTGATTTCAGGATATGTGCAATCTAAGATACTGTTGGCTATACAGACTGACCTGAATACGATCGAATGAAATATAAAGCAGTGAAATGTTGAGCGTGAATAGACTAGTACGAATCCATGTCAAGGTGTACGTCTTCGCCATCAAGCTGCATGTATGCTGACTATAACTATCAGCTGTGCACGACATTTCCATTTCGGATTTAGACTAAGGTTCCTGTTGATTTCACCTTCACGCACAATCTTCAGTTGATCCAATCAACCAAATATGCACGAAGCACTAAACTAGTTTTCCCCCTCATAAAAGATTACCAGTAATGGAGTGATTGCACAGACGTGTTTTGTGTTATCGCTGCGCCAAACGGAATTGCCAATGCCAGTCTGTTCAGATGGCGGCTTCAAACATAGTGCATCAATTCATTTCGGACCGACAGGAACGAAGGGAGACACAAATGACTGCTTGGTTACCCAAATCGGTAGATTTTTCACTAGATCACATATTCCGTACAGGTTCGAGCGAACTGGTAAAAATTTTTTTCAGAATAGATTTTTCACTCATATTTGCCTCCGTTGCTAGTGAGTACTAATCTAGAGTAGATGATTTTCAGTTGGAAATAGAATACAGAATGAGTTGATCTGATCTAAACCAAAAATCACAAATAGCTGTGAGCAAAATAGGAATTTTGATTTGCTTTTTATCATTAACGAGTACAACCTTCTTCTCATACTACGTGTTCAACGTGTTCGAGTTCAGTGCCGGAGACAGATATGTGATGAAAAACGGTGACTATACTAGCATGTTTTGATTTTTCTCTCAATACTCGACGCCGAACTCCTCACCTATCCGTAATCTCGTGTACACTTTTTGTGTGCGTTTTTTCCCTGCAGATCGCCAATGCAATGTATGCTTGGGATGTGTGAAAGTAGAAACTGATTGTTTTTGGACTGTTTTTATCACTTTTATTAGCATCGATTTCATCAAGATTCTCATCAATATCCTGGTATTGATCCCACATTTATTGTATAAAAAGGGATGACGTGGCTCCTCAAACAGTGGTCTACCAGAACGCTGTAATGCTAGATACTTTCGAGCGCGGCACAATACAACCAACAATGTAAGTAGAGAAAAAATATAATAAGCCCGCAATGAAAGGCTTTGTCAAATTTTTTTAATGTTTTTCACAATGACGTTGATTGTAAATAACACATTTATATTCCTGGTCTTTCATTGCGATTCGTTGTAGCGGCTGTGGTCCCAATCATGCGGTTTCGGTTCTCGCTTGCACACCGATCGGACTCAATATTTAGCTGTCAATGGCATTGTGTATTCGTATAATGGAGTAAATGCATAGAACCAATGGGATGCCAATAGCACAACCTCTTGACAAAAGTGTTCAGATTGTAATGCTGTGGTAACTCAATTCACTATTCACAGTGTCCATCCCGAAAAAACGAAAGCTTTCCAATTTGAAAAAAAATATTACCTGGGATAACATACGCAAATAATAACGAGTGATGATGATTCGGATGATAATGATGATGATGAGGATCATAATGATGAAGTAAAGACAGAAGTTCCTAATAACTCTTTCATGGTCACTGAAACGTTTTGTTAATGATATAATATAATAATGATATAATGATATAATAAATGGATTGCTTTCAAAAGCTACAAATTAACCACATGAAATTCGGGAACAGTAATGCGGAAAAATAGTACGGCAATCCAATTAACTCACAAAATCACAGAAATTACTCACATGTATGCACACGATAGCAGTGAATGACTTATTACTTGACGAAAACAGCCCATACTAGCCGCATCCGGCGTAAACAGACTGGACAGCGGCTGAGGAAACTGCGCATCGAATTTCTCCACTCCGGAAACGATTTCAACCGTGCTTCCCGGACCAGCCCATTCACAAACCGCTGGATCCGTTCTATCGAATTGTGAAATATCGTGCAATTCAGCGTACAGAAGAGACAGAACACGCTCGCCAAGTCCGTTGGGTTGATTTGAGTACCACGGCAGATCAGTCGTGGTGGAAGTCACAAAGGCCGAATAACCTGGTGTGCCGATTCGCCAGCCTGCTCGGCTGTTACCGTTACGCACTAGGAGTGTATTGATGCTGGTATGGGCAGTCGGTGGAAAACCTGGATCTTTGATGAATCTTGTCACATTTGTTGCCATTAGGAACAGTCGTTGTCCTAGGATCAGGCCGGTATTGTGACATGTCGCATGCGCTTGGCAGTAAGTAAATCCTCCTGAAATAACAATCCCGCACAACGAATTATCATACACATTCAGCCCAGATGGGCAGAAGGATGCAGCGGATTCAGCTAATCCGAAATGAATCGCACACTTCACGGTAAGAATCAGGAGTGACTTGAATAATATGAGCATTTATGAGCCGATTAATATGAACAACCAAATTGCATTTACTGATCATTAGATTGCTGAGATTGGCAATGCACGTTTCCCATCAGTCTCATGACGAAAACGCTGCTTTTGATTGGTTGATTTCTGCGAATGATAACCCTTTGTAAGTTTGCAATGTGATTGGTTGACAATTCATTCTCACTTTCTGTCGAACACCAAGCGTGTTCAATAACTCAGGGTAAAATTGCCAAACGGATTTTCGTGTAAACCCAAATACTACCATATGGAAAGATTTTTGATTGTGGAAGGTGGACTAAAGATGGTTAGCTAGATTTCCAAAGGGCTATTAAATACATCGAGAAAAGGAACAGGGGTGAACGCAGCAGCAAATGTGACACTGCGCAAACGAAAACTAAAGCCTTCAAGGCTAAAATTGAACTTGAGTTGCAGTATCTGAAACATGATAATTACTCTCTTTCTTGAATTTGTTCTTGATGTGGTCAGACCAGTTGAGAATATTACGAAAGAATGCACCAAGGTGTCTGGCTTGGCGTTATCATTGCATCCTTTTGGTTTTAGTTGTGTAATATGAAAAATATACACTGCAATTCCCTGTGAAAGTAATGTCCAAAACATTCATGATGTTCATTCTGATAAAAGTTGACCGAAAGACAAAACAGTAAATATTGATAAGCAACTTGGTTGTTTAGTTGTCTAGGCTCACCATATAGTTGAATTTGCCACTCTATTGAAGTAGTTTCCATTATGAACCAGAGGTATATTTGTGCATAAAATCAGTGTTTGCTATCAGTTAGAGGAATTGCATATTTTATCTCAAGACTCACATTATCGCTACCATATGATAGGCACTACACTTTTGCCACTGCTTCTGGGGTAAAAGTGTAAAGTGTGTACTGCATGAATAGACACCCGTACTGGAACTAGGAATGACACATCTAGAAACAGGTTGGCTGTTATCCGATGACTATTATCACGCACATAGGGACCAAGAAACCAAACATTCCAAAGACACCACATTAAAACATCTTCAGTTTGGTGGGTACCAGGCACGGACTAGACATCAAAAGGTGGGGATGTGTAAACAATCACCAATGAAAGAAAGGAAGTCTGGGTTCGGTTCCTGTTGAGACAGCCGGTTCCTTTCTCCGCAACTCCAGTAACTGAAAATAAATCGTCGGGTTTCTGATGAGGGTTATGAAATTCGACCACGATCGGATTATCAATAAAAATAATCAATATCATTAAAAGTAATCAATCAATAATCAATAAAAGTTCCTCAATTGACATCTCGATTCAATGTTACATCAAATCATGTTATAATTTCCAACTGTCGTGATGTTTTGAAATCTGGATCTCCTACTGCGCACACCGGAACGGCCAATTCGACCAATTACCCGCGTAATCAGTCCATGCACTCCAAAATGTTCGTGGAGACCTAAGAAAACATCACGCAGGATGAAAACTGGCTCTCAGAAAAGGTTCTTCAAAGGGAATTAGCGTTCCAGCAGTAACCGTTAACAAAGTTCTTGTACTGTTGAAGAAGCTTGTTGCTGTCGGTCATCGTCAGTGTACATAAAGTAGTATCTGTGCCACTTTGCTCCAGGTAAGTTGCTACATCTTGATATTGAGTATGAGGTAATCAGATTCGATGGCTATGACATATGTCGGGGAAATCTTTCGGAAATTCTGGTTTGGCGTATTACCCTTCGTAAACCCTAACTGGTGCATCAATCCTATTATTTTATTTCAGTTAACCGCTGAACAAACAGCTGTGTTCTCAGTCGATGCAGGTACCATTGTATGTTGTACATTTCTTGAAACAATTCTATTGAATATGTTTGGCTGCGGACTAGACGACCCCGTTTCTGATATGGTGGTTTATTCATTATCTATTATTGCTGGAGATTGTAACCCGTTCCATATTATTTATATAACCTCGTTAAATTTCATATATCTGGTAACCTCCCGCATTAGACTTAATTTTATGCTCAAACTGTTCGTTGTTACCAACCATGCACGGGACAGTCTGGGAAGTGTCACTGTCCTTCCTCCTCCTTCACTTCCTGCAGTAATTACACTCCCTGCCTTAATTTCCATTTCAGTTCGAATTAGTGGCTCTTAACCTTCGTATTGATTGATTACTCTTCCCCGTGTGTATTCGCCTGTCCCCAAGCTTGTCACCCTTCTAACCAAAGGTGATCTGGATGTATGTACACAGCTATTCCAGGTGTACGATTAACAAGGAGATATGAACAGACAGTCCCCTATCTTTTCGGAATGTATTGTTTTATCTGACGAAGGATGGCCATATCGAACGAAGAGTGTACCGCAAGAAAATGTGAATGGGACAGTACACACATTTTTTAAGTTTCGTCCCACCAAGAGACAAACGGAGTTTAGCAAACTTTTCAGGCTACAAGACAAAGATAAGTTGCAGTTTGAAGAACGTGAATGACGATATTATCCACAAGAGACATCCTATGGAGAAACGGATGCCTGGATGCGTGCAGTCCACAATCCTAGAAGCAAATTAAGCATATGAACTAACATAAACGGCTAGAAAGAAAGAGCTCTTTATGAACGTTTCTTTCAAGAGAGACAGATTACTATAAATCCTGAGATCTCAGCTTTCAAAACGTTTGGCAACTGCTTTTTCTACCACGCATGTGCCATTCCGATCAAAGATGAAGCCAGTCCGAGAGTGTAATGATTAGGTACCTCCAACGGTCTCAGTCCTTTTTGCGACAATGGTTTACGTGCACTTGTAGTGCTTGTTGCATCGGAAACACAACGAGGCGTTTGTACAAGAGAATATCTGAACTCTGCCCGGCATCATTTCGTAAAGAAACTGGGAAACTTGAAAAACGCAACCTTGCAACATTTGGTGGGCAGTGGACGCAAAGTTGCCCTGGGAACATCATCTGCAAACTTTGATACAGTAGCTGAGAACGTAATCTGAAAAATACGGGATAGATCTTTACACTTGTGGAGTCCATAGAGATGATGATGAGGATCTCGTCAACCTATTAAACGCCGTCATTTTTTCTGTTCTTCCGTTCATTTTAGACAAGTTGTCATCTGCATTCTCCCGAATGACACTCATGTGTCATGGTCCGGCGGACACAACATTACCTAATGATTATTTCTGGATGACTTTAACCACTCTCATTGTTTTGTCGTCACTGGATGTTTTGTCAACGGTTGGTTACCAAGAATGTGACAATGTTCGCTCGGTACTTTGGAGTTCAGCTGAGACATATTTTGCGATAAAGAAGGATTCATATATGACCGTTTAGAAAGAACGATTACTTTTGAATCCGGTTGTTTATTCCAT